TGTACTTACTCATAAATGATGAAAATTACGTCAAACTAATTTTACACATTGTGCTCACAAAGTTAGAAGTTGTCATAAATCGTTGTTCTATGAGTGCAGATAATAAAATTTAAATTTAATTTTGCACATTGGGCTCACGATTAAACTTAGAAATTACCATCAATTATCTTTTTATAAAAAAATTTTAATGTAATGTGACACATAATGCTGATAATCAAAGTTGGAAATTATCACAAATTGTTATTTTATAAATACATGTATACATATAATAAGATTTAAATTTAATTTGACACATTCTGCTCACAATCAAATTTCGGAATTGTCATAAATTGTTATTTTTATAAAATTAAAATTTAACTTTGCACATTGTGCTCGCAATCGGCGTTAGAAGCTGCCATAAATTGTTGTTATATATATATATATTTTATTTATATATATATATATTATTATATATTATTATATATTATTATTATATATATTTTATATTATATATTATATATATATATGCAGACAATAAAATTTAGGTTTCAACTTAGGCATTCTATTCGCGATCAGATGCACCGAAACCCAAAGGTATAGTAGTGTATTATTTAGGAAAAGAGACGTAAGCTATTTTGTATTTGTGACCCTATCTAAGAATCGAATTGCGTATCAAAAGTAACAGATTAGTAATGAATTTGTATCTTTGCTTGGACGCAGCTGTTCGCCGGGACCGCCTGTTTGTTCAAGTCTCACAACAAGGTTTGTTAATTTTCTGTCTTCCAAGTGTTGTGTCTGTCTAGTCTACTGCAGTGTCTCGTCTCACCGTATCCCTGTGTTTTGTTTCACGCATTCGTGTCAGTGTATTGCACAGTTTTCTGCCATGATTGTCACACCGAAGCTTGTCTAAAACACGTTTAGCATAGTTCAGCATCAATAAACAGCCGAGGCCTTATCGACGGTGTTGTATATTAACACGCTGCTTTATTAACTGTTTCCCATGAGCTCTTCCTAGCTAATAAATTCTGCTCATGGAAATAAAACAGTTTATATCTTTATGCGGTTTTAAATCGTGCCTACAAAACTGAATAAAAGATCGAGTTTTTACGAGCTAATTTCTATACTATTGGCTTGTAAGTTCGCGGATGTTTTTACGAAATTCGATTTTTATTAATTAACGGAGAGGAAATTGGATTGTTTTTTGGAATTTCTTAAAGTCATTTCTCATGTTTAACGTCGTTTAATTGCACGATATCTGCTGCCAAGATTTATAATTTCATGTTTTCTCAACGTTCATGAATCGAGATGAATTCATGTTAATTGATTTCAGAAGAAATCAATAGTCTTCTCTTTCGAAAATCATACTTCATAAAGTAGAAGGTAATCATTGAATGAATACTAAATGTTCTTATGAATAAAATGAACACGCAAAACTGCAAATAATTCATATAGTGGTATTGTATCGTAGCATTAAAATTAAATGTCCGAATCCAGGTAAACATTGAAATTAAATCATGAATGCACTGTTTGGAAAAGTAGGATGTACTAGTATTCTCATTTGTCTGTAACAATTCATTAAACTATACAAGCATACTGTAGCATTAAAATCAAATGTCCGAATCCAGGTAAACATTGAAATTAAATCACGAACGCACTATTAGAAAATGTAGGATGTATCAGTATTCTCATTTGTCTGTATCAATAACAATTTATTAAACTACACAAGCATACCGTAGCATTGAAATTAAATGTTCGAATCCAGATAAACATTGAAATTAAATCACGAATGCACTATTAGAAAAATATAGGATGCACCAATATTCATTATAAAATTAAAAGAAAAGTAATTCTACGATACAAGAAAGAGTAAGACGAAAATGTACAATCAAATATTTCCCTAGATGGTTTCGTTTTTAGGAAAAATAAATTTGGAAATTTGTGCGGATTTTCATGCAAAGCAAAAATTGTCATAACTAATTGCAAGCTGAAGAATCATTTTACCAAGTTATCGGTAATACAATAATTTTCAGAATCGTTGCTATGTTTCGCTATTCTGCATTTTATTTGCTCATTTTTGTCTGTTTATGAGATACACATGTTACAGAATAAGTTATACCTCATCAAACAAATTGAATAAATCATCGAACAGATCGAATAAATTAATGAATAAATTGAACAAATTATTAAATAAATTGAACAAATTATTAAATAAATTGAACAAATTATTGAATCGAGTGAACGTTAATTAAACTATCTGCTCATACCTTCCTGCATCTATTTTTGTAAGTGATTTAAAAATCTCAACCACGAATCTTCTTAAAGCAAAGTCTCGAGGGAATGAATTTTGAACAAATTTCATGAAATCGGCTACTTCATGAACCATCTCATACAGTCTCTAGCGTATTCTGCAAGATTCGATACAAAGAATTGCTACGAACCACTCCATAAACGTCTATATAATTCCGCAGCACTCGCACAGTTCACGAATTCCTAAATCCAGAACAAACAGCAATCATGCGCTGAGCACTCGTAGCTCGTCAAGTGTCCCAGCTCCGATGTCAGCAAACTCGGCGCTCAAAAGCTCGTGACTAATTGTTTCCTTAGCTCGAAACGGACGGCGAGACAAGGGAAACGAGGTGGCTGGAAGGGGGATCGAATCAGAAGGATTGAATTAGCGAGAAAGCAGGCGGCATCTTTGCCCGTGCCTCGCTCGTTTTCGTTTCTTCGGCTGGTTGCCGAAGGATGTTGCTCCTGCGAATTCAGCCAGACGGTTAGACAACCGCTCGCTCCTTTGAGCCTTCACGTTCTCGTGTAATGCAATTTCGTCCGCGATGAGTCTTCGCCCTGTTCTTCCTCCACCGATGCTTCACGGCAATGGCGACGACGTCCTCTTCGTGCTTCGTCTCGAAAACCCCGGTGCATCGTTCAGTTTCCACGCACGTAGTTAGAACGGCCGTTCGTTCGGCTGTCCGTGATGCTTCTTGTCGGTGTCCGGCGGAATTTCGTCGTGTTCCTAGACTGCTCCGTTTAGAAAGCTGCTCTTTCGCTTTCCTCGCGTCGATGTCGTTCACAATATAACCTTTTAACACGTCCAGTGCCGAAAGTCAATCGCAACAATTCCCACGGAAAGTCATTTCATTAGTGAAACTGAAAGTAGGAAGTTTACATTTATTATAGCGGAGGGCATTTTAATTCTTTTGCATTCTATACGTCAGAGTTGGGCATTATTCGAAAAATTTATTCGAAGTATTATTCGATATTATTCGAAATATTTTTCGAATCAAATTTAATTTGAAGAATTTATTTGAAATATTACTGAAATAAAATTTGATTCGTGGAATTTATTTGAAGTATTATTGGAATCAAATTTGATTCGAAGAATTTATTCGAAATATTACTGGAATCAAATTTGATTCGTGGAATTTATTCGAAATATTACTGGAATAAAATTGATTCGTAGAATTTATTCGAAATATTACTGAAATAAAATTTGATTTGTGGAATTTATTTGAAGTATTATTGGAATCAAATTTGATTCGTGGAATTTATTTGAAATATTACTGGAATAAAATTTGATTCGTGGAATTTATTCGAAATATTACTGGAATAAAATTTGATTTGAAGAATTTTTTCGAAATATTACTGGAATAAAATTTGATTTGTGGAATTTATTTGAAGTATTATTGGAATAAAATTTGATTCGTAGAATTTATTTGAAGTATCATTAGAATTAAATTTGATTCGAAGAATGTATTCGAAATATTACTAGAATAAAATTTGATTTGTGGAATTTATTTGAAGTATCATTAGAATTAAATTTGATTCGAGGAATGTATCCGAAATATTATTGAATTTAAATCTGATACGAAGAATTTATTCGAAACCGTATTCGAATAATAGTCAACTCTGCTATGCATCCCAGTAAAATTCAGTTTGTTCGAATACATTGCAATAAAAATGCTTCTTAAAAATCCTGGAAAAAGTTAGTGCCATCCATATCTATCAGTGCTAAGGGTGCAAATCTGAATTTGACGTTGACGGAATTGATCACCACGCAATAGCACGAGTGGTCATAGAATAAGCTAATTAATAAAATTCTCGACCGTGATAGATGCGATGAGCTACGTTTTTTAATCTTAATTTTATCTTCATTTCTCTCGACGCACTGAGCGACGTTTTAAACTTTCCATTTCCGGAGCGTTAAACAACTTCGTTAAATTACTTCGCTATTCCCAATCGAGTAATTACTCGCTTCCACTATTCCCAATAGCAATGTTAATTAAAAACTACCCAGCTTAAAAAATAGCGGGAACCACAGGCAGAGCCGGGTCTCCCGATTACTCGGAGCGCGCAGCAATTACAGCGCGATTTCGCGTACAATGGAGCAACGTGGAACGATTTCGCAGCGATTTCCGTCGAAATTTCGACGGGACCGGCTGACGTTAGGCAGCGCAGCCGACTTGGACGAAAACGGAGAAAAGGCGCGCGCTCGCATAGCCGGAATTAGTGTCGAGAGTAATTGCGTTAATGGAACACCTCGGAGGCAAACGGGGTCACGTATTCACCGCGGGATTCGTTCGAGAAGAATGCAAACACTAATTGGCGGGAGCCGGTGGATTGTTGCACGCCGATGTTCGCGGCCAATACTGGATCATGTAATTGGACGCATTCGTTCGCGGCAGCCTGATAATTGCAGTTAACGCGGGCTAACTGCAATCGCGGCTCGTTCGGCCGGCCGATCGATCGAAAATCGCGGAACCCTCTCGCGTCCACTGGCTCGCTCGAATCGGTCACGATGAAAATCAACTTTGCAAAAATTAAGCTCTTCTTGCAGCTCAGCTCTTTCGCCATTTTTTTTTTTTTTTTTTGTTAACTGACACGCCATCTGTCTCTTCGCCACCCTCTTTTTCGACGCGATAATCCGCCGCGCGAACGGTGCAACAGATGGACAGGAAAAACGGGATACGTTTCGCGTTAATGGATTTTTCATTTATATTCAGACCCACCGGTAATTGGATTGGAATAATTTGGAGATCGAATGAAGTCGTTGGAATTTTCGGGCAACGGCGTGTGCGATGGAAAAATTGTTTTGCCGCGTTGGCGCCGGCGGCGTCCGATCGAACGTTCCGTTTAAAAAATTTGTTGCTCGCTCCGCGTGTAACGAACTTTTTATTTTTCCCTTTGGATCATCGAATCGCGTATATGCTGTTTACTGTCTGGGATTTTTGTGCGGATGGAATATAGGGGTACTTTATATTTTACTGTTGTTTCATTATCATTTTTGCTGCAAGGAGATACTCTGCTGCATGAAATACATTGTCAGATGGTTTTTGACATGTTCATTACACCGGCGTTTATGTTGTACTGCAATAATAATAATTTTTAGTGCTATTTGGTATACGAATTTGCAAATACATTTTATGTAACTAATAAAAATTGTTTTAAAGGCTTTCGTATGAGTTAGTTATTTTTAAAGTTTACAGCATTAATGTAGATTTATTTATTTATTTATCAATGCTTTAGACCAAATGGTTTATTTAGCAAATACATGTTAAATGTATGTATGTTTAATTTTACTTATTATTATTAGCTTTTAAATTCTTACTTAACATTGTTCAAGGAAATTATTTATTATTCTAAATATTGAATGAATGATTGAGATATGAAAAACTCGAAGAGCAAATTTTGATTTTTGTTAGAAAACGAAAAACAATTTATTGTAAGATGAGTAATAATGTTTTCACAAATGTAACATAGTGTGT